GTGCCTTACTAGTAGTAACAAGAAGCTAGTAGAAACAAAGTGCATCGCTAGTAGTAACAGGTGCCTTACTAGTAGTAACAAGAAGCTAGTAGAAACAAAGTGCATCGCTAGTAGTAACAGGTGCCTTACTAGTAGTAACAAGAAGCTAGTAGAAACAAAGTGCATCGCTACTAGTAACAAGTGCCTTACTAGTAGTAACAAGAAGCTAGTAGAAACAAGTGCATCGCTACTAGTAACAAGTGCCTTACTAGTAGTAACAAGAAGCTAGTAGAAACAAGTGCTAATTAATGGATGCACATCTTTACCGCACATTTTGGTCAAAGGACGAGGGCGCTGATGACGAGGCATCATCAGAAATTGACTCGTCAGAAAACTTGTCCTTGGATGCACGATGTGTCTTGTTCATTTTCATTTACTAGTTTGCTAGCTTTGCGGAGAGTTGAACATGCTTGTAAGATTTGTGCATTTTAGATTTGTGCACCTTCTTACATTTTATGTTTTTGCAGTTTCTTTCTGCTTAAAGAGCAGGATATGAACAACTTGGCCTGCTTTTTACATCCTTTTGTTTGTCTTTGGCGTATTCACATATTTTTGGCCATTATAGAGATTTAGGCAAGGTACTGTGTCAACTCCAAGCTGTTCTAAATGGGCAGGATGGCAGTCTTTGCCCTCCCCCACATGCTTCGGCGTCGCTTGCCGCAGATCTTCCAAGGTTTTCATTTCAGCGGCATTCCATTTTTTTTTTAATGGAGGGTAGGCCGCGAGTGGAGGCTAGGTAGGAAGTAGCTAGCAGCAAACGGTAGCTAATGGCTTACTAAGATGCTACTAGTATGGACGCAGGATAGCTCACGTTCTTCAAGGAAGCTCCCCCCGCAGCCCTAAAGACGGCGGGGGAAGCTTCCTTGAATAAGCGCTCGCACTATTCATTTGGTTCCTAGTTTTTTAGGGAAGACTCCTCTTTTGTTTGTCAGTGAGTTTTGTTTGTCAGTGAGGTGTGGGGGAGGGGACTCCGGACTACCAGATCGGCTCGGATTTCGAGCCATGCCTATGGAGCTTTGGTCGTTCGAGAAGGCCAATGACAAGTTTGTCCAGTTTGTAGAGCTGTTTATGTAGCTTGGCAGTGTAGCGGTATCGAGTGCTGCTGTGCACCCGACTCCGTCATACAACCAATTCAACAGGGAGCGATTCGAAGATGAGACCGAGTCCCGCATTCTTTGCAGTGGTTTCTGTGTTGCCAGGGCTCTGTAAGCGCTGGAGTTGGTTTTGTGGAGCTCTGAGCAAGGAAACCATGTGACAGTGGAGAAGCCGCTCTAGCAGATTTCCCTTGAGGTTTGTGCCAGGGATGTGGCAAACAGTCTCTTGTACGCGACTCTCATGTCAGAAGGTGAGGCACCAGGCTGGGAAAGATCTCAATCAGTTGTGAAATTTGGCAAAACGAAAAGCAAATCTTCGTCCAGCAGGCATCTCAGATGCAACGAAGAGTGCAATCCGGACTTTATTGGACCTGGCTGAGGCATGGACGACCAGATTTAGTGACACTTCTAGAGGCTTCCAAGATTCTAGTCAGGTCTCACTCCCTTTTTTTGGTGAGACTCGTTGCCACCCAAGGCCTGTAGCACACGAAAGATCATCATGGGCTTAAGTCCGGAGCATGCAAGTTGCACCTGTCTGAGCAATCAGAAGCTTGAGCAAAGAAACTGTGAATGGAGTATTTCAACTCGCTCCTTTCATATGCTGAGGTGAGGGGCTGGCATGCTCCCTTCTTCGATTGGGATTTCAGGCAAAGAGTGGCATTAAGCAGACAAGTTCTTTTTTGGACCTTTTCTCTGCAATATATAAGCGCAAAATCGTGGAAGGTCATCTCGGTTCGCAAGTGCCCCGTCTTGAACGCCGCGTCAGAGTCCAAGGTTCCTTCGGGAACGAAGATCTCTTGGCCTTTCAAGCGTCATTGAGGCTTTTGCTCGAGTTCGATATGGGCCCACCTGCGCCTCTTCGAGGCGAGTGTCAAGCGAGAGTTTTTCCGAGTCTCAAAGTGAACGGAAGGAACTTGTCCAACCTTTTGTTACTAGTGGCGTCCTTGCTCCTAGTAGTACGGCCAGGAGCCCCTAGCTTCTTGCTCCTAGTAGCGATGCCCTTTGCTCCTAGTAGCTTCTTTGCTCCTTTGGTGGCCAGGCAACTATGTCATCTCATCAGATTACACCTGCAGTGGAACATCCGAGTGCTCCACATCCGCAGAGGCAAAGTCGCTCAACACACACAAGTTGACCAAAAACTGATAAGTACAGTATTATGCTGTCTCACTTGAACGTTGAGGACCATGATCATCTCCAGTGCGATTCGGAGTGGCATCCCCAGCTGCTGCAAGTAAACGTTTCTGGTTCGGATTTGCAAGCTTTGCTCAGGTGTCAGGATAGCGACTAAAGCCTTCATGGCGCCCCTCGTCACAGCCTTCGTCAGAGCCCGCGTCTCGATTTTGCCTTTACGCTCCGAGTTTGTACACTACTACTAGCAAGTACATCGCTACTAGTAACAAGGCCATTACTTAGTAACAAGAAGCTACTAGTAGCGATACCGCTCCTTTTGTTTCACAGGCTGGCGGCCTGTGGGCCCCGTTCCTTAGGCGCAAACATGTCGGCATAGGAAAAACACACCTAGACTTTATCATTGTATTTTCCTAAAGCAAACGTACAGTTTGCTTCAGGAGCGGTCTCTTTCTCACCGGCAGTGGCGGGGCAGCGGTCCTGAAGGAAGCTTAATTCCAGGACATTGTTTGTCAAATTTTTGAAATTGTTTTGTCAAATTTCAGTCTAGAATCCTAGAAGTTCATAAGCCCTGCTGAGATGATTTGTATTGAATAAAAAGAGAAACAAGTGATGAAATAAGTGGATTGATGTTTCTCGTTTCCAATGCTTTTTCATTCCTTGATGTTTTGACCTAGGCTGCGACCTTGTTCGCCATAAATGAATCGTCTCGCCGGGCTGCGAGGCAAAGGGGAATGGAGTTTGCTCAGTGGATTTAGAAGACAAAGAAAGAACAAAACCGCAAAAATTAGTCTATTTTTAACATTTTCTTAACTTTGTACAAACATCTTCAGGAATATCTGCCCAGAAAGATCCGGTCAGTACATGAGTGAAGTCTGAAGCAGAGTCCAATAGGTCTTGAGCTTACTGAGTAACTGATCTTGATGCCAAAGGAATGTGCATGGTGACATGGGAGATCCGTGAGAGGTGTGCATGGCGTGGAGGAAAGGGCAGACCCAATGGGGGAAGCACTCCACGGCAGGCTGTTGAGAGTGTTGCATTTTCTCCTTAGACCCTAGTAGCTTCTTGTTCCTAGTAGTACGGCCAGGAGCCCCTAGTAGCAAACATTGTTCCTAGTAGCGATGAAGGAGCCCCTAGTAGCGTCCATGCTCCTAGTAGCGATGCTTCACTCCTCTTCACCTTGCTTTGTCCCGTTTCTTCTGCTAGGTTGCATGTCTCGTTGTTCGTCGTGGTGATGATGCTTGGGGAGCCCAGCACTCAGCCTTTGTAACTTTGCGGATGAGAACTGGAGACTTGCTGGAGACTTCAAAGCAATATGGTCGTGATACGTAGTGATTGCCCTCTTTGTGGCAAGGGACAGCAACAAGCGCTTGTTTGTTCTGTTTTTGAAGGCTTGGGAGCGGCAGGATGACTGTGGTCACTTGCCACGCTCTCAGGTGCAGCGTGGAAAACTCTTTCTTTTGAAGATAGGGGCGATTCCTTTTACACCCAAACAGCTGGCAAGGTGCATAGGTTGCTTGTTTAGATGCTCCGATTGCAGCTTTGCCGCTCTGCCAGACTCATCGCTGCCCCTGTGTGCACCGCTTTGAAGCCTCGATTTTTTTTGATAAAGTGCAATGGAATTCTTCCTAGCGTGCCAGCACCAAGCTGAAAGCTCCCAATCCTCTGCCTGGCAAAGCTGCTTCCAGATCACCCTAGTCATCACATGTGCCCACAGATACATACCGGAATATAAGATCCAAGCTGCGATGAGCTCCTTGCTTTCAAGCAAGACCTCACATGGAAAGAGGCACACACTTAATGCATGATACGAGAGTTTAAGGAGATCCCGTCTGGCAGCATGCCTTGTGCACAAGCCTGAATCTTCTCCGGCAGTTTGTCGGACTGAAAGGAAAATAAGATTGTGGACAAGCTGACCCCAAGTCATACCACAATCTTATCGCTAGTAGGGTGGAGGCCATCGCTAGTAGGGTGGAGGCCATCGCTATCAGGTTGGAGAATGAATGGCAGCTCAACCAAGTCAAAGGGAGATGGCCCGATGCCTCAACCTCTCCCCGACACTGAGCCAATGCAGTCCTGTTCTCCTTGCGAAGTGAGGAGGGTGTCACCAACACAGTCCCAATGTCGTGGTCAACAGTCACATGAGAGTCAGCTCTGTGTAACTTGGCTAGTGTGTGCCGGCCGGACCGTGGTCCTTGTATTTGGCCTCCTTACTTCAGGCGTCCTTGCTCCTAGTAAGGCCAGGAGACCCTAGTAACGTCATTGCAAAAAGGTCCGTAGGAAAGACCTCAATCACATGTCATGGTCAATGCCCTCGTTGAAATGTGCACCCGCAGAGGACAAGAGGAGCTTGTGAAATTCTTCAGGAGGTCCAGGTCTAGTGCATGCACAAGGTACCTCATCTTGTTCAAGGCATTCTTCTCTTGCAGGCAGACGCAAAGACACATGTTGTTTGGACATGCGTAGTGCAAGTGCGCACCAGTTTCGTTTCTGGAAGTTGCTGCCCAACTCCACCTACAAGTCCATCACCGCGTGAAAAGGTTCTTTATTGTTCCGCTTTCTGACAGTCTGACAGGTTCACTGCACCCCTATGGGGTTGGCATACCGTCGAATCCAAAGTGTTGCGTCTGTAAAGCGCTTTGTGGCACTTGGTTGCCTTGTCACTGCTAGTCGTCTCGCGTACTGAATTCGCTCTATGAGCTTATGCCATAGCCTTAAGGAGGGTAACCAAATGTAAACAAACCTGATAAAAGCCACAGAGCAAATGAAGACTGCCCGTTGCCAGGGTTAGCATTCAAGGCATCCGACACGCAGAAGCCTGTTGCACAGGCCTGCGGTGGCCTCCAACCCACGACAAACGACAGACCAAGAAAATCGAAGAAACACAATAAAGGGCCTTTTTGATAAGGTCCCTTTAGAGGGCTCTAGCAATGCTTCTTCCAACGCACGGCCCTGACACTGGCTGGGAGCTCAACAGACAGTTGAAAAAAGACATCGAAATAGAAAGTCCAACTTGTCCACAGGAATTTAGCTCACCAGAAGCTAGGGAACTGGACTTTTTGTCGATAGTTTTGATACGAAGCCTGGTGTACACTATTGCACACCATTCGGAACGGAAACAGCCACAGAAACTTACTTCAGAATGAACTTTTATGTCATTTGAGGCAACAAAAATACATTAATGGTGTGCGATGCCAAAAGAAGGTCTGAAAAACAACTATTTGCAACGAAGCGAGTACTCCGAGGTCTCGTAAACAGCATACAGCCCTGAGCACCGACAGAGAACAGAGACAACGTGTAGTGGTGTGATTTGGTTTTGGATTGTGTGTTGCTGTCTACGGAGGGTGGCACAGCCTGACTCCATCAGAGCCCTGAAAGCGACAGGAAGTCAGGGCAACCATATTCTTTTCAACAAGTACATCAAAGTTTGGCTCAGGAAAGCCTTGCCCATTTTAGTATTCCCAAAGTTCTTAAGCTTGATGGGATGCCTTGGGTTATTTGCTCTCGCTGTTTGAATCCGCTCCAAGGCCGGCAGAATTCGTTTTGACCCTTGCGACAGCCCGAGAGCCGGCATCATGAAGGTGTTGCCGAAATCCTTCTCTTAGTAATCTTGCTACTGCCCTCCATGGCGACCACTGATGATACCAAAGTTTTGTACCTAGATTTTGCTCTTGGTTTCCTCCTACAGCCATTTTGCATTTTGAATGAAGCCAAGATCAGGCTATAACCTAGACTTATAGACCATGTCAGAAGCAGAGGCAGGCAAGGGGACGGCTTGGGCTGCATTCCAAGTCGCAAGGCTACAAGGCAGCTTGGACAGTCTTAGTGATGTTTCTCAAAGCTTTCCTGCCTAAATAGCGATGGCCTCTACCCTAGTAGCGCCACAACAGAGTCACTTTGAAGTTGGAAAGTTCAAAGCTTTGAGAACGTGTCTCACGTCGCTGCTTCGCATTGCTTTGCAACACACCATGCTCGCACCGCAAAAGAGCTTGGCAAGCTGAAACGAGATCAAAGCATGAAAGATTGAAAAGGGTACTAGGAGCAAGGCTACTAGGGGCTCCTGGCATCGCTACTAGGAGCAAGGACGCTACTAGGGGCTCCTGGCATCGCTACTAGGAGCAAGGACGCTACTAGGGGCTCCTGGCATCGCTACTAGGAGCAAGGATGCTACCACAGGCTCCTGGCATCGCTACTAGGAGCAAGGACGCTACTAGGGGCTCCTGGCATCGCTACTAGGAGCAAGGATGCTACTAGGGGCTCCTGGCATCGCTACTAGGAGCAAGGATGCTACCAGGGGCTCCTGGCATCGCTACTAGGAGCAAGGACGCTACTAGGGGTTCCTGGCATCGCTACTAGGAGCAAGGACGCTACTAGGGGCTCCTGGCATCGCTACTAGGAGCAAGGACGCTACTAGGGGCTCCTGGCATCGCTACTCGGAGCAAGGACGCTACTAAGGGCTCCTGGCCTTACTACTAGGCACAAGGACGCTACCCTTAGCAGATTCCGCACTTTACGGCTCAAGCAGAAGTGGGAGAAGGCGCAGGCGAGCAGACACGTGGGTGGGCCGGAAGGCAGTGTAGTCTAGTAGCCATGGCTATCAGCAACAAGAAGCTTCAGAAAATCATGAACCTTGGCAAATTTCATGCAGCCAAGAGAAGGGCTTTGTGAAGAGGTTCTGGACAGGTTCCGGTTTTCAATCATTTGATCAGATCAACTTGAGGCTGTTCTCGGATCTGTTGGACAACATTTGTCTTGCAAATTTGTCCATGCAAGCTGTAGGACTCTTCCCATCAACCAGATCTTCAGATATTTGCAGAACAGGTCTCGTGTTCAGGCCTTCAAAAGCCCAAAGTTGCAGCTTGTTCCTTTTTTTGACATTGGAACCATGAGCAAGCTGTTTCTTGGATTCGTGCAGGTGTGGCTCCATGAGCAAGCGGACCTGCGAATTGAGGGCAGGATTCTGGGCTTCGATGAGTACTCCTTGCATGTGTTGAGCATTGAAGTTCAGTGTGATCCGGCATTTACCATCTACCTTCTTGACGTGCTACAAAAGCCAACGCATTTCTCTTAGATTTGGGGCTCAATTCGGAGGTACATGAATCTAGTGATTGATGATGCGGAGGACTTTCTGCTGCCCTGCACCGTATGAGAAGAATTCTTGTGGTAGCTCAGGAAGCTCAGAGGGGTCGGAATGGCCTTGTGAGGAAATCATGGTGAAGAAGAAGACTCGCCGTGCGATCGGCGAGAAGCTGAGCTTAGAACGAGCATACTTGCAGCAATCAAATCGTTGTGTGCATTCTTTTTGTCAGTTATATAACCATAGGAGCAAAGAACGCTACTAGGAGCAAGAAGCTACTAGTAACAAAGGGCATCGCTACTAGTAGCAAGGATGCTACTAGGGGCTCCTGGCCTTACTACTAGGAGCAAGGACGCTACTAGGGGCTCCTGGCATCGCTACTAGTAGCAAGGATGCTACATTTTTGTAAGCTTTTCAAGTTGAAAAGTTTGCCTTTCGAGACGCAGGCCGGATCCTGTTGAAAGGAGACAACATATGTCTGATGATGAACACAGGTGCTTAGATTGTGAAGGCATCGGGAGAGCTAGGCGCTCTGAAGCCTTCTTCATTTTGCGCGGCACCAGCTTCCGTGCGGTGATTTTGCAGATATGGAGATCCAAATCAATGCGCTGTGGAGAGGATAAATCAGGGGTGGAGTTGCATTTCAGGGTGTTGCCTGCAAGCTGTGTTTGCAATTCTGACATGCCAAATTAGCTTTCACTTTCAGACCCTTTTCTATTGGCTCAGCTGACTTGAGTTCTGCTGTCCGAAAATCCTGACCATGCGTTGGGATCTGAGAAAGAACAATGGGACACTTGGGGTTTGGCACAGACTTTAAGTGATGCAACTGCGAGTGCAGGGCTATGTGCGGCTTTTCTGGCGATAGGCCAATTCTCTTCAGTCCCTAAAGCAACACTGTGTGATAGGTTTCTCTTCTGTTCACAGGCGTAAACCTGGTGAAGGCGGATAGCCAGGTCCAGACAGTGGACTTGTACAGAGCAATGACAAAGCCACAAGATGGCAAAGATGCTTGGCTGAAGTTTATGTGTCTTTTCACAGAGAGGTCTTGTCAGAAAGACATCCAGGTGCCTTCTTAGGAGTTGGAGAACAACGCATCCCTCAGAGATTTGTCTAGGAGACTTTACCAGTGTCCAACAACAACTTGGCCGACGTGCTGGGAGTCTTGCGCTGCGCTCTTGGTTACAGGGACCGTTTGCTCTTTGCAATGAGGCACCTTGCCAACTCGAGCCTGAGCTGCTGAGGTTATGTTCACCAAGAGGTCATTGTGGAACATGTGGCAGGGAATCCTGAGCGTGAGACAAGGAGCTTGTGTTTCGTGCTCTTGTTTTGGTCATTTTTGGATTTGTAGCTGTCACTTGCATGTTCACCATGAGTTTCCTTCGTGGTGGCACTTTTGAGGAAGTATGACATCGATGCCTTTGCCCACTATCGGATGAAGATCCGAAATCCAGACACCATCCTCAAGGACAGCCAGCTGAGATGCTAAAGAAAAAAGATGAAGAGAACCGTTTGTTCCATTTTTCTTCAAATCTTTCCCTTAGGCCGATCTTGCGGATCTCAGCCTTGCTCGTAGGATCCCAGCAAGATGGCGATTCCTGGCTTTGGAGGTGCCTCACTACCCCGATATGAGCCGAGCATTGCAGCTTTTCGTTTTGCCATTGATACTATAAAACTACATTTAGGAATAAAAACGAGCAGGTGTGGAGGCCATCGCGCTTAGGTTGGAGGCCGTCGCTAGTAGAGCAGATAATATCAAGGGATATTAAGGGCCATGAGGAGCAGTTTACAAGTAAGAGTAGACTGCTACTTGGCGCCTAAGGGCAGGGGGATCTTCCTTGAACCCATCGCATGATTGATTTGGTTCGAAACTTAAGCGGTAGAGCTTTCTTCTGAGTAACAAGAAGCTAGTAGTAACAAGTGCCACGCTAGTAGTAACAGGTGCCTTACTAGTAGTAACAAGAAGCTAGTAATTACAATTCTAATTAAAGTCTTTCTTATTTCTGTTTTCATCCATAATTCCATGTGAGGCTTCGGGGCATTTGACTTTGGTGTGGCGACCTCGTTGGACCGAGAATCGCCAACTGGCGCGCTTCGAAATCAAAAGAACCCAAATAAAAAGGACTTCAACAATAGCAACAAACCTAGCAATGGCCAGTAGCAATGGCCTCCAACCTACTAGCGATGGCCTCCAACCTAAGAACCTTTATTTTTTCCACAGGGCAGTTTCCTTTGAGACATGTTGGCAGGGTTTGAACCTTTGCAGGACCTCCTTGAACAACTTGTGTCGAGTGGTGACTTTGTCGGCATCAGCAAGCAGGAGGGCTGCCTGTGGAGCCTCAAAGTTCGTTTCCCGATAGGGGATCTGGGTCCCTCTGGGTTCTTGAGCTTGTGCTAGGACTCACCACAGATCAACTTCACACATCCATGGTACTGGTTTTCTGTTGATGGGGACTGCCCAAATTTGCCTGACACTGAGATGTCCGATGTTACAGAGTTCGCAGCTTTTCTAGTCGTGGCTTGGATTCGTCCTTGATCTTTGAAGGCCCTGGACATGCGTCAAGCCCTACCCAGGCTGCCAAGAAAAGGACTGCGCATTTGTTCAAGCTTAGCAACAGTACTAGTAGCAAGGCACATTCCGTGCAAAAAAGGGTCCTTCTGGGTCGAAAGAGCAGGCCCCGCCAACTATGCCTCAGCCTTGTGATCCAGACGGCTGCGCTGGCAAGAAGGATCAGGCAGCCTCCATTCGCACAGTCAACAACTGCTGCGACTCTTGACCTTCCTTCTTTACTTTGTCACTTGCAGTGCTGATCGAATGTCTTTCATTAGTGCAAGCGTGCCTCATTTTGAACTTGCACAATCTGCAGCTTGTGGCCAGGATGCTCGGAGCTGCACGGACAAGCCTCAATTCACAGATCCAACTGACACCGAAACGTTCGGCTGCCTAAGACTTTCAGGTGTGCTTGTCATACGGTAGTTTTGGAATATCATTTTGCCTGATATGTGAGCTGCGGCCAAGGGCACGGAAATGCTGCCTTCACTACAGTCAGCACCCTGACCAGGCACTTGACCCTGTCAAACAGGAGCATTTTGCTTTTGGCCCCGAAGTAATCTGACCTTTTCCTTTCTCTGACAGCAAAGCTTTGGGGGTCTTCAGCCATAGTATGGACTTTGGAGCAGATCGGAGCAGGTTCTGGAGCAGGTTCCGGAGCAGGTTCTGGAGGACGTTCCGGAAACGGCTGGAGCAGGTTCCAAGCAAGTTCCTGGGGTTCCGGAGGAGGTTAGCAGGATCTGGAGCATGGTATTACACTCAAAGCAGAGCAGCACTTGTGTAGCATTGTTTGTACTTGCTTTTTCGACGACCAGATGACGTTCCGCAGCACTGCGGCAATGAGTGCGGTGATGTTCGTGGGCTTCCTGGTAATCATCAGCGTGAAGCTTGATTGTTTGTGACATAGATTGTTGCGAACGCACAACGTGTTTCTAGCTATTGTTTTTCTTGGGCATACTTTCACCACAAAAGCGTACACCCCAGACAACATAGAAGACTTATATAAGTGGTACAGGACAGAGTCAAAGGCAAGCAGCTTCACTTCCACACGCTTCATTTGTTCATTGTCCATGGTTAAGTTGCACAGGGTCAAGTAACATAATTTTGACTTAGCAAACGCACACTCGGAGTGAAGTGGAGTGAGAAGCATAGCGAAGTCAACAAATCTTTGTGAAGCGGAGTTGCGTAGTTGCACAAAGTTAGCCTGCACAGGTCAACATAGCACAGGCCAACATAGCAGTGTGAGACAAAAGGTTTAACAAATTAAGTGTCCCTCTGAACCTAGGAGCCAAATCAATAGTGCGAGGGCTTCTTCAAAGGAGGAAATTCCTGGAAAAACATGAGCTAATCCTGCGTCCAGTAGGTAGTAGCATCCTAGTAGCTAGGAGCGAACACGTTGGTCCTTTACTTGATTGAGCAGGCGCCTACTTAATTGAGTATTTGGAGGGGGGGAGGCCACGGGCCAAAAGAATCCGTCGAAGTGGAATTGTCGCACTGCCTGGCGCCGTAGCAGTGCAGTGTTGTGCTTGCACCGTCCGCTTTGCCATTTTGTGTACTGTCAGTGTGAAAGTGATTTGTGGCTGGTGTGTGACCTGCCCTTGGTGAGGTGGTAAGTTCTTTTTTAAAGATCTATTTTCTAAATCCTGAATCCCTTTTTTGTGTTCAGTGAAGTTGTAGGTTCTTACCACCGTCGAAATTAAGTTGTCACTGTTAGCGAAGTGGTAAGCCTTTATTGCTGGGCTGGGTGTTGAACAAACGTGTTGATCGCATGTCGCACATGTTTTGGATGTGTTTTATGCCTTTTGGCCATCCCTGGAGGCTTGTGCGGATGTTTTGGGCCAGCAAGCCAAACCCAACTTTTAGATTCAAAAGGTAGCAATAGGATGTAATGAGCCCAAAAGGCACTCGAATAGCAATGAGAAGAACAAATGATACAGTCTACTGAGTCCACTTGTCCCTGGTGCCTTGGAGTACCTGTCAAATCGTGCTTTGGCCGGTGAACGTCGCAGCTTGGGTTGAGTTCTGCAGGTGATCATTGGCGGCCTCTGCAACTCCTCGGTGAAGGAGCCCACCGGAGAGATTGGGTGCGTCTATCAGTACGAGGTGAGAGTGTGCTTTGATTGAGATCTCATGATGTTTCTTGCAATTTCTGACCTTGAGACTCTTTCTTAGTAGTAACAAGTGCCACGCTAGTAGTAACAGGTGCCTTACTAGTAGCAACAAGAAGCTATTAGAATTAAATTCTATTAGCTTCTTGTTACTCCTTTCCTTTCAATTCCTTTCCTTTCTTCTATTGCGTGTCGTTTGATTGCCAAACTGACAAGGCCTTGACGTCCAAAGACTTCCTGCCGCTGGATGATCTCAATGGTCGCCTGGTGGCAGCTCAGTGCTTTGCAGTGAGTGGCAGCTCAGTCTCAGTTTGCAGCTTTTTGAGGCATTAATTCCATGCCATGCGGAGCTGATGGAAAGAGGCCAGTGTGAAGAGATGCTCATTGACTTTGCTGTCTTCCATCTCTCTTTCTGTTTTCTTGGGCGGCTTTCGCAAGATGACTTTCCTTTACTTCCCAAGCAGATGCTTGGAACTCTTACACAACCTATTTGCGTTTCAAAATGGCTCTTGTCACCATCCTTGTTTCCCTACTTGCCTATCCTATCCCTGGTATTCATACTTCTTGACTTGGGGGGCAGTCGCGAATGATTTTGCCTCGTGTCCTTCTTTTTCCTTTGCAACTTACCCTGTTGTCCTTTGTCCCTTAAATTCTCCACGCACTACAATTTGCTGGACCAACATGGGTCCTTTTTTTGCAATTGTATATCTCTCTTCAACTCCTCATGTTGGTAGATGTTATCGTCGGGGTTATGAATTCCTGCAGTTGGAAGCCATCACTAGTAGGTTGGAGGCCATCGCTGTTAGGTTGGAGGCCATTGCTAGTAGTCTGCAAAGCCTCTCGGTGCCCACCTCGCACAACAAGCGCACCTGGTGGGGCTGGCAGTGTCAGAGCAAAACCTGTTTTGGAGTTCAACATCAGGAGCCGATCAACACGCCAATCCTACCGAGACGTCTGCCCAGAAGGTTCCGATGCCTTGGCAATGTCGTGGCTTCACCGAGACAGCTTGTCCTGCGTCGATGGAACAGCTGTTTTTCTGAGCTCCTGCAGCAAATCCAGCTTGATCTGGATCTTTGGGGACTCGGCCAATGGGTCTGGACAGTCAGCTTCAGGCAATTCATTGTGTTTTCGAAAATGAGAGTAGGGCGTGCGGGTTTTCATATACCTTACAGATCGCTGCTATTCAAAAGGTTGAATGATTGGGCCACCGATTGTCAGCACAATCTGCGCGAAGACAACCTGATCTCATAACAAAGAGCTTTGCACGAACTGGTTTCAGCAGAAGGGGCAGTCCTAGCGGTCACTCGTGATTTTAGAATAGTTTTTAACAGATGCGCTACACGTTGGATGTGGCACTGACAGTGGCATGCAGATGGGCAAGGAATTTGGGATCAGCAGGCAGGTGCAACCATCTGAGACTTCTGTTGTTGAGGGTTCTTGAGGGTTGTGGTGCGAAGCAACCGACGTGGTCTTTCCAACGGCTGACTGGGTGGCCCAAACACGAGCACATTTGTCCTGCCAAGCCGACCCATACCGTTAGCAAACCATTTGGTGCGAGCCTAAAGCTATGCAGCAGCTTTGGGGAAACGATGCTATATTCTCACCTTATGATTAACGCTCAAACAGGCTGGTCTTTTTGGAGAATTAAGGGAGTGTGCGTGCGAGATCCCGGTTGTTATCACGGGATGTTGAATCGCTCAACTGTTTTTCGGAAAGCCGCATGCTCAGAACTAAGAAAGGTTTCAACCACAGTCCAGGTAGCTTCACACCGCGGCAGCTCGTTGGCATGTCCTGGTAGCATGCTTACGATACAAGACTGTTGGCGGCCTTTATGGTGTTTGCCTTGTTTCGGTGTTATAAGCCGTGCTCTAAAATCTGTGAAATCTGTGAATCAAGCGGTGGAAGTCGCAGGAAGTGCAGTGGCTGGAAAGATTGGCGTGATCATTGTTATGACCCCGAAGGGTAGCTTGGAAGCAGACTTTTGCGCCTCAGATGTCTTCCCATGCGTTGCTCAGGAAATACAAGAAAAGGTTTCACTGCGAAGACTGCCATGACTCGGGCGGGTGGAATGTCACTACTCAGGCGCATTGCCAAGGATCATTTTACTAGAATTTGATGTGGAACGCCCTGCAGGTGACGGGCTATTGTGTTGAGTATGACTTGCATCCATATTGCCAAGAGACACAGAACCTTTGCGAGGAGAGAAACTTTGGTTAGGCATCTGACTAAAAGATAACTTGCAAGAGACCCCAGCAGTGCTTAATTTTCTGACAGATTCTGAAAGGTTTTGGTGGCCAGGTCCCAAGCTGGAACACAAGTGGGTAAGGTTTCGTTGAGGGAGTGTGGTTGGTAGTGGTTAGTGGTTGGTAGCGGTGGGGAGGTGGTGAGTGAAGATTGCAAGACTTCAAGATCCAAATCTCCCAAACGAAACAGAAGGAGTAGTAACGGCAGCGTCCTTGGCTCCGAGTAATAACGGCCTCCAACTTAATAGCGGTGGCCTCCACCTAGTAGCTTCTTGCTCCTAGTAATCATCTCGGACACTTCCGTCCAAATTGGCCGAACCGAGAGCAGGTACGCGGCTTTGCAATGATTTTTGGTGATGTGGCCTTCCAAATCAACTCTGTACCTGCCGTAAATCTTGACAAGTCTTAAGTCTTTAGAGAATTCTGGCAACTCTAAGGCGGTTGGTTCCAAATTAGAGAATCAGCACTTTGAAACGAGATGTTGGATTTCCTCCACTATCCGGAGACTATCAAAAACTCAAACGTGCTTGCTGGCCAAAAATCTGTGCCTGTCGATGCAAAAGCGCCTGCCATGAAAGCTGCACAAGGACCCCATGTCAAAAGCCATGTTGGCAGAAGGACACCTCACAAGGGCCTTTACACTTTACCCCCACCGTGACAACCGCTTCCACAGTTGTTTGGGTTGTTCTTGGATCCTTTGAGTTGCGAAGGATCCAAGATGCATGGCCTTGAAGCCTGAGGACGGAATGAGTTCAATTATGGTCTAATGACTCTGTGTTCACTTTTGTTTGTGCAGGAGAAGGAGTATGGCCTGCCCTTTTGGTCTGGCAAGTGCACTGTTCAGAACTAAAGACCTTTTGAGAGAGGCCCTTTCAATCTAGCGAATCTAGCAGCAGTGAGATGTTTGAGGTTTCTGGTAACCAGCTGCGGGCTGAAGCTGTGGCGTACCTTGCTTGGACGAGCTTTTTCTTTTGTTTTGTGTTTCTTTCGTTGGAGGAAGCAGCTTCGTCCAACTCTGGGAGCCTTTTCTTGTAAACTTGGTTAATGAAGTTGAATATCTTCGCCAGAACTGAAAGGACCGGAGGTTCAGGTTTCGGAGGTCCAAAAGAGCGCCAGCTGTATAACTGGTTCCGGAAGAAGCGTCGTTGCAGTCATTCTTTGGTTGTCTTTCTTTGCTTTCGTTCTTAGGAGCTACTTTTTGGGTGACCCGGTACGGAACTCGCACTGGTTAGTGGATCCGGCCCGGCACTTGGTTGAGACAGGCACAATGGCTGTTTGTGACAGACCTAGTTGCACATAAGGCAGCAATGGATGCAAGCCCTGGTTGCGCGTCGAAAGACATTGCGACGCAGTCCTCCCAGCTACGGAGCTTTCTTACTACTAGGAGCGATTGGACGCTGCTAGGGGCTCCTGGCATCGCTACTATAGTAGCTTTGTTGTTTCATTTAACAACAAGAAAGCACAAGGAATCAACGATGGCGATGGCCTAACAGCGATAGTGATTCAAAATCGCGACGAGGCCAAATCAATGCACTCCAAATCCCGATGGCGGTCCTTATTGCACACGAGTCTTTGGTTTGAACCCCAAAAAGTCTGCGTTCGGAATGCTGTTTCGGAGTCCGTTTTGCATTTGAGGCGGCGTGTGCTCAACCTGCTACATACCTGGCACCTCCCCGTGCGGGACTCAAAAGAGATTGCTAGTTTGTCAGAAGGACAGTTATCAATAGCACCTTGTTACTACTAGTAAGGCACCTGTTACTACTAGCGTGGCACTTGTTACTAATAGCTTCTTGTTTCTAATAGCTTCTTGTTACTACTAGTAAGGCACCTGTTACTACTAGTAAGGCACTTGTTACTAATAGCTTCTTGTTTCTAATAGCTTCTTGTTACTACTAGTAAGGCACCTGTTCCTACTAGCGTGGCACTTGTTACTAATAGCTTCTTGTTTCTAATAGCTTCTTGTTACTGCTAGTAAGGCACCTGTTCCTACTAGCGTGGCACTTGTTACTACTAGCTTCTTGTTACTACTAGACAGAAGGACAAGCAAAGAACATGTCGCACTTTTCTTACTAAACTTGTGATGTTTGTGTAGATATTCTCAGGGCATACCCTGACCCGCAAAGCCAGTGTGATTCTCAACCCGCCGCTTTTGCTGCCGTTTGTTTGACTCTTCTGCCGCACTTGTGCTGCACTTGTGCCTTTTGTTCTTCGCTGAAATTAGGCCAATGTGCCCCTTTGGTGTCTTGAAGGAGAAGTTCACTTTTGGTGCTCCTCCTTCGTCAGAGTCCTTTGTGGTTTTGTTTATCTCTCTTTTTCAAAGCTTTCCTTTCCAGAAACTTGAAGCCATGCGCAGGAAAAGGGAAACACACCTCCTACAGAGACCAAGTGTTCAAGCAGTGATCCACTGAATCTCTGCTGCTTATATGGTCAGAGGACCCAGATGGTTTCTCCAAGTTTCTCCAGCAACTGCTTCAACCACTCGCTCACTCTCACCCGTTTGGGTAGCAAGGATGCTACTAGTAGCTCCTGCCCTCGCTACTAGTAACAAAGGGCATCGCTACTAGGTTGGAGGCCATTACTACCAGCCCTTTGTTACTAGTGACAGCCCGCTCGTAGGCCCGCTCCCCACTCCCCATCGCCCGTTTTCAGGGCTGGGAAGCTGCGAAGTGAATGGCACCGATGGATCTGATGCAGAGCTCACTGCTCGAGGCTTCATGCAGGTGATGAGGTCGGGTGCGGGGAGATGTCGGTCCTCCCGTGTGGTCCTCCTCCTAGTAGCGTCCACTGTTCCTAGTAGCGATGCCAGGAGCCCCTAGTAGCGTCCGATTGCTCCTAGTAGTAAGGCCAGGAGCCCCTAGTAGCTTCTTGTTCCTACGACGCTTGAGTTGTTGGTGTCGTCTTGCTAACGAGCTGCGTGCAGGCTGATGGACAATAAGGCCCGACTGTACTCATCTTGTTTCAAACGATGTCGTTGTCAACATGGCAAATTGCGCTTGCTTCACAATTCTCCATTGGTGCAAATGAGTTCACGAAGACCTTTTTTTCAGCAAATGCACCTGGTAGGAGATGGTAAAGTTTGCAAGCCGCTATGTCTCCGAGAGAGGTGGAGCCATCAAAAACGAGGCTTCTTGCTTCGAGGAATGATCCAGTAAGTGAAAGTGTGAAAGAAAGTGAGTCTTGCCGAATTGCGCTTCTCTTGTGCTTTTTAGCTTATTGATGAAGTGGACATGGCACACACATATATACACTGATACACTATTGTTGGCGCCAGAGCTTGCGCCAGGGTGGTTTTGATGCAGAGATATACTCCACATGGCACTATCAACCTCCCAGCAATCCGGAACAGGCATGTCAGCAGCAGAGTCTTGCGAGCTCAATCTAGACTGTTGCAGTATTATGCAGTATTGTTTGCATCGATCATTTCACTGGATTTTTTTGTACTCTTTTCGAAAAGGACTTTTGTAGAATTACGCTCTGCTATTCAGCGTCTGGCAGGCCTGGGACGGATTTGAGGAGCAGATCAACAAGTCCTCTGCCGTAGATTGGCATCCTAGCCCAGCGCCCGCACCTGTCAAAGGAGGCAGAAGCAACGCAATTTGAAGAGAATGCGAGCTTGTGTGGCCCACAAATGTGAGCAGTTGAATTAGACTTCTGCACCCTACTGATGCGGCACAAACTGCCCCGGACTGTTTCCGGGATTTTGTACTTCCTGCAGGGTCTTCTGCTGTGTGGTGGGTCCTCATCATCCTTGCCCATCGCCAAGATCGCTTGGCTTCAGGATGCACAGATCACGTCTGTCCTTTTACATCCACTAATAAAGGATAAAAAAACACTTCAATCACAATTTGTTCCAGCTTCTTTAAACATCTTTAAAGAAAGAACTGTTCAATCATGGACTTGCCATACTCCCTGTGTTGCAGAGGTGGTCCTGGCTGCGCTTGGCTTCGCTGGCTACAAGTACTACTCCCGCTCTCAGCAACAGGCAGGCTTTTTGCACTTGTGCTTGAAAATGGAACACTTTCCACGTAGCTCCAGAGACGGGCAGACCGCGGGCAGCCCGGGGTGAGCAAGGGCTTCTCAAGCAAGAGAAGAACCCCAGTCGGGGGTCTGTTAAGTTTCCCAAGAAGTCTAGGAACCAAATCATGAGTGCGAGCGCGGTTCTTTGAAGAAGCGTGAGCTATCCTGCGTCCATATGTAGTAGCTTCCTGTTGCTGGTACCGTCGCGTACAAGTTTCTCCCTTCCTTAATTAAGTAGGCACCTATATACTTAATTAAGGAGGCAGGGCCATGGGCCCCAAAAAATCACTTTTGTTTTCCTTGAGGTTGGATTGTTGTCGGATTGTTTCTAGAATGAAAGCCAACAAGCTTGCGCCACCAGGCTCGGCAGCAGCTTCTCCCGAGCGACAACAGGCAGCGAAACGTCCAAAGTAAACTACTAGCTTCTTTTACCTAATAGCGATGGCCTCCAACCTACTAGCTTCTATGTTCTTGTTTCATTTGCGGAGGCAAGTGCAGATGAGTGGCTGAGACAGAGTGATCAGGGCGATTTCGTGCCAAAGTCTCCAGTGCTTAGCCTAAAGAGGCCAAGCGTTCTGGACCAGTTGAAGTCGCCTAGTTACCTAGTTCCAGATTGATTCACTGCTCGGCAGATCTTTGATCCTTCTCATGCTTTGTTCATTCTCAAGAAAGCAAAGCCACGAGACATCCAGGTCCATGCAGGGATCCACGTCGAAGCTCAGAAAACCAATCCGAGCTTGAGCAAATGCCGAGCTTGTCGCCTCAAACGTTTGAGCCCATCGGACCATTTGGGTCTGGTGTCCTTGGACCAAAACAGATTAAAAAAGAAGAGAAGAATGAACAGATGCCCTCTTGAACAAGGCCACCTTTATTTAAAGTAGCCTTGTTGAAGAGGCCCTCGCTGTATATTTTCTTCAAGCAAGGGAACAAGAGATTTTGCGCTTTTCAAGCCGCTTTACTCGTACGTGCCCCGTTGATTTCCACCAGCAGCTCAGATAGGTGTTCTTGTTATAGAGTATACAAGCAAGTAGTAGCAGCAGTGTTGTCCAGGCGTGCTCCAACTAAGAGTTTTACTCCGAGGACAATTGTTGCCCGTTGTTGCAAAACCAGCTGAGCTCCAGCTTCGCACTGACACTACTCCAGAGACATGTTCGCATTCAGCAGAGCTGTAAAGAAGAGGCCATCGCTAGTGGGTTGGAGGCCATAGACATTGGTTGGCACTCCGTTGGTACCCGTCACTCCACGCGAGCCATGGCAGTGGATCCGGAGCTTGAAGAAGAGGACCTCGGGGTGTGTCAGTCGAAGCTAAGCCTCAAATTTTGACGGTCGTTGGAAGATGGAAGAAGTGCTGTAGTAGCGATGCACTTGTTCCTAATAGCTTCTTGTTTCTAATAGCTTCTGGTTACTACTAGTAAGGCACTTGTTACTAGAAGCGATGCACTTGTTACTAGTAGCCATGCACTTGTTCCTAATAGCTTCTTGTTTCTAATGGCTTCTTGTTACTACTAGCAAGGCACTTGTTACTAGTAGCGATGCACTTGTTACCAGTAGCGATTAGCAAATGAAGAATTTAAAGGACGCGAGCAAGCTAGACATGTCGAGTTTTGTGTTTCTATTTTCGCTTGGAAAGGCAAAGTCCCTTGTGAAGTCGACCACGAACTTTGTCCGCGAAATTCTAAAAGAAGCTGACACTGAAGCCGATGGTGGAATCCCTGAAGCCAGAGAACTTCGCAAAGAACAGGAAGCCGAGATTGAACCACGTCATCAAAAAGCAGATGAGCTGGTACAAGGAGCAGCTGGAACCTCTGTGCAAGCCTTGCAACTTGCTTTGGAGATGGTTGAAGCTCTCCTCTTTCAGACAGTGAAAACTGAGCTGGCTGGTCAATATGCTACGTCGTCATATCTCACAAACTGGCGTCAGCGCATCGTTATGGCGCGAATTGGTGAGATCCTGTGGACCGTCAAGGATGCTTTGGAGTTAGCGCGGGATTTGCAGGACTCCGTCTATTTGACGCGCTTTCTTTGAAGTCAAGCACTCGTTTACACTATCTTTGGCAAGGAACAGCTTGTTTGTTATGCTGAGCATTCTTGTTTCGTGGAGTATCCGTGTAGTAGAAGCGCAAGACATAAGACAGCCAAAGTTCTCCATGAACTACTTTGCAGGACTCTAGACTTGAAGCAACCGCTTTGAAGGCCAAGCTCAGTAGTTAGTTCTCATGCTTGTATTTTCAAAATGCGCAGTTTGTATTTCAAAAAGAGCCACTTCTTCGGACAATTGTCAGCAGGGATTGGTGGGTGTCAAGAGAATTTCTAAGTGTAGAGCGTTCATTCTACATTTCTGTATGGTCTCAAGTGCTTTTCTCAATACCTTGGGGTGGCTTGTTGGCAGCTCACATGTTTTGCACAAAGGTACGTGGCAGTCATGTTTGAGATGTCAAGAGCGGGTCCGTCCTGTCGTTCACCTGCAGCTTGCAGGCCCTTGCACGGGTTCATCTCAGTCGAGTGAAAGAACCGGATGCACCTGTTGCTGCGATCAATGAAGCCACAAAGGCCGGTCTCAGGAAGCCTTGGGGAAGCCTTAGAGTCTAAGAAGCCAAGCGTCGAAACAAAAGGCAATCAAACAAAGCGAGTCAACCAGACGACCTTTCCAGCTTCCTTTGGCCTTTGGTGACTGCATACCAATCCATTTAACAAGCTTTTTGAGGCGTTGGAGGTTTTCAACAAGCTGGATCAGGAGATTCTTGATGCAAGGTCGAAGGTCGTTAATCAGACTTGCAGGGTATATGTCGAGTTGCCACAAGTCCAGGAGCTTCAGGAAGACAGACTTCATGCAGACATTCTGTTTGTCCTTGGCCCCTCTTGATGAAGATATCTACATGAAGAAGAGAACAAGAAGTTACTAGGGGCTCCTGGCCTTGCTACTAGGAGCAAGAAGCTACTAGGGGCTCCTGGCATCGCTACTAGGAACAAGGACGCTACTAGGGGTCGTTGCAACAGTTTTTGTCTTTTTGGCATCTCGACATATCTCCACTATCGACGAGAAAGAGCCCAGGTGATGCGCAGCTGACAAAAGCCTTGGCGTCTCCCTTTAGCGAGGCACGAGAGGAGTCTTTGGAAGCCGCTGCTGCGACCATGCGCCAAGCCAGTGAGGCCCCGTCTGCAACACAAAAGGTATTGACAAAGATCAAAGAGCGAATTGAATTAACAAGCAATCTTCTTTTGAGTTACTAATAGCAATGACCTCCAACTTAATAGCGACTTCATCCTAGTAGAGATCCCAAACAGGAACACAAGCACACACATGATGAGAGCACACGCGCACAAACTTGACACCACAGATACGAGAGCATACACATACGACAGCACACACTTAAGATGCGTTCGATTTGATTGCACCAAGCCCTTAAGAGGCCTTGCGGAAAAAGGGCCTAAGGAAACAGGTAGTTAAAATTTAGCAGGTACGTCAGCGAGCGTTTCTTGCTGATTTCAGCACAGCCTGAAGAGTCTCTTTGTTAGATGCCCTCTCTTCATGTTTCATGTTTGCCTTTAAATCATCAAACATTCACGTCAAACATAAGAAATCGTGTCTGCAAAGCCAACAGTCGTCAATGAGCTGCAGTCTGCAAATGTGCAGTCTCCGGTAAAGGTGAGAATCTCAGGCAACGTCAACGTCAAGATTCGCAATGAAAGCAAAAAGGCTTCCGCTGAATCCAAGAGCTAGGAAGAAGGAGGAAGGAAAAGGGAATAGGCGCCCAACTCACCACAGGCGTCGGCCACGCAGAGAGAGAGAGAGAGAGAAGAATTCCATAGGTGCCCCTGGTTGGGGGTGATGCAATGCAATGTATAATATATGCATATGCATGCACGAGCGCACTTGTGAAGAGCAAACAAGAGAGCACACACACACACACGAAAGGGCACACATACAAATACCGCGCCTGCTGCAAAATCTGCACATCGATGTTCACAAAGTGCTGTGCCTGCCACGAAACCTGAACTTGCAGGTTCACATTGCGCAGCAGCGTGCGTTTCGCAACCACCGCACTTCCAAAGACAACTTTGAGATACCAAAGCGAAGCTTTCTCTTCCCCCAAAAAATGACACCAGTCGCAAGCCCAATGTTCATAATGTTCACGTAACACGGTGCCGATGCAACGACCATGCGGTCAACATTTGCTGCGCCTGCCACGAAGAACGGTGATGATTGCGAACCCCGGCGAAGACCCCTGCCTGTCACTGTAAGAACCCTTCGGTTGCTCGCAAAACGGTCTATGTAGACGTCAAATGAAAAGAACATAAACACATAAAACATGAAAGAAGACAGAATTCAACAAGGAAAGAGATGGAAAGGAGTTAACAGTTTTGTCACAAACAGTGAGGTCTACAAGAAGCTGGGGGAGACGAAGTGGTTGGGCCGTTCAATGCTGGGAACGGCCTTGGCACTCGTAGGCAGGGCCAACGAGTACAGCCAAGACTTGGTTTGCATTCCGTTGAGGAAGAACTGCACTTAGCTACTAGTAGCGAACATTGCTCCTAGTAGTACGACCAGGAGCCCCTAGTAGCGTCCTTGCTCCTAGTAGCGATGCCAGGAGCCCCTGGCCCTAGTAGCTTCTTGCTACTAGCTACCATTAGCGATGCACTTTGTTACTAGTAGCTTCTTGCTACTAGTAGTAATGCACTAGTATATGAGTCTTTGATATTCTTTGTGCTTGTTGCCGGATCCACGATCTCGGGAGATAGTGAACATGTCGACAGTAGTGAACTTGCCACACATCTGGAAGTATAACGTATTTGATCTCTTGCAACCGCTACGAAAAGCGACTCTTGGACCTTCACAGCAGATGGAAGCTGGCCGTGTTCTGCACAGCCTGACAAGTCATAGGGCCGCCATGACAGGACACGAATTTCATAGGTTTTGGGCGATATCCCAAGGTGACGCGCTGGATTTTGCAGACCGTAAATCTGGAGCCTGCGCCCTTTACCACTGTAGAATTTTTTCTCTGCACAGTGCATGCTTGCCGGGCAATCGCTAGTGCTGAAGCGATCCTTCGAAACCTAAAAGCACAAAGTTTTCCTAGAGATCTAGGAACCAAATGAATAGTGCGAGCGTGAGCTATCCTTCTTCCAGTCGCTAGGCTAGGACCAGCAGCTTACTCCCTTACTTCATTAAGTAGGCGCCTACTTAGTTAAGTCAGGAGGCCAGGGCCGCCAGGGGCTAGGTTAGATTTTTAAATGCAAATGACATGTAATCGTTATTGTTAGATTACATTTGTTTGTTTGGCCTTTGCGCCTTGGTCTCGTTATATGAAAAACACTCTATCTAAATTTGCCTTCTCTAAATCTGCTCCATTTTTCTGCCTTCTCTTTCCAAATGACTTTCTTTTTCCACTGATTTTGCAATGCTTTCTGCTAGCAAGGATGGGACATTGGCATTCAATCGTTTGTTCATGTGGCCCCTTTCAGTTATTTTGGGCACCTAAAGTGGAGAAGGTTGAAGGGCTGGGGTCGTCTTCCTGTGCACATCCACTTTGGATTGTTTCTTGAGCAAGCTTGTATACTGTCGCTGTAGTCAAAACGTAGCAGTACTCTCCACCACATCTTCACATCCATGTTGGATATGCAGTGCACGTACTCATCAAGTTGCCCCTAGGCATACACCATAGTATCGCCCGACATATGGGGCTGATTGGGGTGGGGGCATGATTACGGGTTTACGACTGTTTACCTGCGTGCATCCGTGTTGGATTATTTTTTGAACGAGCTTGTAAATATCTTGAAAACAAAGAACTGCGACCAATTTCCAGAGCTGCACGTGATTTGGGTACTGCGCAGGGTCAAACCAATCCACCAACAGTTGTATGTGCAGGTCTTGAAGATGAGGATCAGCAGATGGATGGTGAGCGATTGGCCGAAGATGCCAAGGACCACCGAAATGCAGCTGCATCAGCCGCTGGCAATGGTGGTTCTTTAGTATTTGTTCTTCCTGTTCGTTTACCAATAAAATGCGACCGCTTCCAACCCGTCAAATGCCGCTGTCTGATTGCACAGACTTGCTTGCTTAAAGTAACAAGAAGCTACTAGGAACAAAGGGTATCGCTACTAGGAGCAAGGACGCTACTAGTAGCTCCTGGCCTTACTACTAGTAACATATTTCCCAATTGCATTTTTTGGGGCTTAGCGAGGCTCACCTCAGTCCGTGGACCTTGAGTGCTGCCCGTCCTTTTTCTCTCTGTTTCTCTGTTGTCATGTGGTCAGACGGGTTTGGAACAATAATAATGAATGCCCTTTGTTCCTAGTAGCGATGCCAGGAGCCCCTAGTAGCTTCTTGCTCCTAGTCTGTAAGGCCAGGAGCCCCCAGTAGCGTCCTTGCTCCTAGTAGCGATGCCAGGAGCCTCTAGTAGCTTTTTGTTCCAAAGATCTTGGGAATACCTGACAATGACATTCCTTCGCTGTGGCGGCCCCTCCTTGCTTTGGGTTTCCTTAGGAAGGCTCACATGGTATGTGGTGACAGGTTCACAGTCTGACCTTACTCCCTCAACTTCTTGTTGAACCTTCACTGCCCAATTGGGGTGATGTTGATGTTGTCCACGAGATCTCTGTGGGGTATTCAGCTCAACCTCTTTGACTTTGCTCTACATCGGGCCACTCCTGTGTGCATTGCTTTTGGGGCCTATTGGTGTTGTGGTTGTGTGAATCCAGGCACTGGCGCAGTTTGCATGCTGGTGACACTGTTCCTGCCATCGGTACATGCTCAGTTCTTTCCGGGCCTATTGCAATACGGCTTTCTTGGTCTTGTCGGTGGCTGCACTTCAACTGGCGGACGACCCCTGCATTTGGAACGGTTGTGGAATAGTTTGCCTGCACCTTCTGATTTCTGTGCAATCTCGTGTCTCTGCGGTTGAGACGAGTCTCGTGGGCTGGGTTTTTCGCTCGACCCAAAAAATTCCGCAATTCTCCTCACCTTAACTATAGGCAGGCTTTGCGAACCATAGGGATTTCTCAGAACTCTGACAGCGCGATTGAAAATGGATGGCTAACAATGTCCGTGTCCTTTCCGAGAACAGGTCATTGTAACCCCTCACACTTTGCAGGATCTCTTTCATGATGCTGGCGAACTGTCTCTTTGGCATGTGAGATTTGTGGCTCAGTTGAAGTGCAACGCATGCCAGGGATCTCGAAGTTGTCGCGGTCATGCTCATCGTGAAGCCCTGCTCCTAAATAGACTCAATGCAAAACTGTAATGAACCAGATGCTCTTAGACTCTTGGGAGGCCCTCCCTAGTAGGTTGGAGGCCATCGCTATTGGGTTCCTTTTTGAAAAATATATTATATAGATGTGCTTAGACTCTTGGACGGTTCGCAGAGAACATCACAGGTTCACACAGTTTGCTTCAAGGCGTTCTTCTTTTTGTCACTCGGCTTGAGGTGTCGAATCCGGACATCGGGTCTGGACTGTGCTCTGCTCTCCGCAGAGGTGCTGTGCCGACTTTTCATCGCAAAAAGTCATTGCAAAGGAGCACCTAGTAGCGTCCCTTTGCTCCTAGTAGCGATGCCAGGAGCCCCTAGTAGCTTCTTGCTCCTAGTAGTAAGGCCAGGAGCCCCTAGTAGCTTCTTGCTCCTAAAAGAAGTGCAAGGGCATTTCCTTCCCTTTGTTCCTTCCATTTTTTTCCAGTACATTTCGGCGCAGTCTTCAGTATCACAAGGATGCAGCTGAAGACTGGAAGGAGGAAACTGGAAGGCGCACAAGTGACGAAGCGGTGTCTTTTCCAGAGCAAGACTGCACCAGTTAAGATTGGAGTGCGCTGAACACACCAACAAAAACAACTCAGACAATTTACACAAGCATCCGCTGTAATCACTTCTCCTTTTCCCTTTTACATGTTCGTAGCACGAGGCCTGAGCATGTGGCAATTGCCTTGCACACTGCAGCATCCGTCTACTTTCAGTTGAAGGACGCTGGTTCTGATAGAAATCGACAGATAGCAACAAAGAGCTACTTGTGGTGTTGGATCACTGGCTTTTCTTTTCTTTTGTTCTTGATTAAGACCATTTCTGACAGGAAGGGCTTGACAGGGCAGCCCAATATTGTGCTGAGGCTTGTGCATTTTTCGCGGAGACGGATCCCAAGTTCAGCTTTCTCGGCAGTAAATTCATGTAAATTCTCTCAGAGCTTAGTTGGTGTAAAAGCCGGCCTTCCTTATTGCCAGGCTCTCCAGCTTTTCCGTGCTGCTGAGTGGCGCCGAGCCGAGGCAGAATCTCTGCCCAAAGCGCATGACTTTGCATGATTTTGCATGATTTTGCTTGCGCAAACTTGACAACTAAAGACAACTACTGTAGTGGACAACTAAAGACTTATCCGCTGTGGGCAATCAAGCTGAAGCTTTCAGCCGCTTTCAGCCACTTTCAGCCCTGTCGCAGACAGCAGTGCTTCAAACCTTTTGCAGAGTGGAGTCATTGAACCAGAACTTTGACAAGAGCATCAAGTGCGCCAAAGAGGCAGTGTCCCTTGATTTCTCACCTTTCCCTGCTCTCTTTTGTTGCTTGGAGTGTTTGCACTTCTTGATTCAACATGGCAATTCTGACTGACATAGCGAGTTGGACAAGTTGGACGTAGCGAGGCGGTACTGAACTGCCGTGAGATGAAGGACCCATGCAAGCTCGGTACGAGATAGTACCAAGTATGCCAGAAGGTTTGCATCCAAAATGTTGAGTCTTTGTGAAGCCCCAAATCCAGGATCAACGTGCCGAAGCAGAAGCTCTTGCATATCAGGCAGAAGCTGCTTTGAGCAAGCTCAACACCGAGGCTGTGTTGAGGTTGAGAGAATGAGAGAACGCTGAAAGGGCTAGTAGGTTGGAGGCCATCGCTTAGTAACCATCGCTATTAGGTTCCTTTCGCTTTCTTTGTTTAACATTAAACAGCAGCAAAACAGCAATAAGGTCTCAAATACCTGTGCACGGCTCTGGAATTGTCTCCTATTCGAAAGGCTTTGAATGGTTTTCATCAAAGCTGTGTGTTTTGCAACAATTGTCATCCAACCGGGCAGGAGAACACCCTTCCTACAGAAGAAGCTCAGGCTTTGGCTGATGAGGTGCGAGACAATTCCCCTCTATATATATAATTACTAAACATTGCTTCTAAATACCATTCTGTGGATGATCTTCTAAAACTAGGAACCTTCAACTTGAACTGGTAGGTTGAAACGGAGGGCACTGTCAGGAGTGATAGAGTGGATGGTTTTATTCCCACATTTCAAGTTGGCAGCGAGGTTTAGCCCAATCGACGAATCGACATAATCGACAGAACGACGACAACAAATATGGAACGGATGGAGAAAGGCAGAAGCATGTGATGTGGGGCACTTGATGCGACAGGGCAAGCAATGCTCCGACAAAGCCAGAGACATTTTCCTTGAACTGGGCGACAAAGAAGGACTACAAATCGTGGATGAGGCCTCGTGGAGCGACAAGTGTAGCCAAATTTAGCCAATGCAAAAAAAGAGAACTAGTAACAAGGATGCTACTAGGGGCTCCTGGCCGTACTACTAGGAACAAGGACGCAGAGAGAGAGGCTTTGGCAATATGCCTGCGTGCGCTTCAGCAGAATTTAAAGGTCACCTTCGTCTCCACGAACGTGGCCGTCGAGAAGTATTGCGAGGTTTCTGTTTCTTTTTGTATCGTCAGTGTCATATCAGCAAGAGGATTTCACGTCAGGCAACGCCTCCGACTCGGATGATAACCACCTTGAAGTCCGATGGTCATGGCGCTCAAGAGGTGTTTGGTGCAACTTGGCTGGAGGGGAGGTATTCAAGGGAATAAAGGCAAGGGCTATGAGTCTATGAGCATTCTTGTGTTAATGGCAGACTGCTTTCTTCAAGACCTTCCCCAACCTCAACTACAAATGAGTTCTAATGATTCTAATGTTAAGTTTCCCTCAAAATCTAGGAACCAAATGTTTCGTGCGAGCGCTTCTTCAAGGAAGCTCCCCCCGCCGCTTCCTTGAAGAAGCGTGAGCTATCCTGCGTCCACTTACTAGAGGCTTAAGTAAGCTACTAGCTACTCCCTAGCTACTACTAGCCAGCTACCTCACCTCCTAGCGGCCAGCGGCCTACCCCCCTGAGGAATGGATCATCAACCGTGGCGAGGAGATGGACCCTTTGAAGGTCAGAAGATTGCTCAAGGATGGTCGCTGCACAGGGCCAGTGCAGTATACCTGAGGTTCCCGACCGCGTGCCCCTGGGGCAAAAGCGAGTTCTTTGAGAGTGCTTGAAACGAATTCTGTGCGTTCTTCTCGAGTTCTTCCAACATTCCAAAAGCTATTCGTTTATTTATTCTTTAATATTTCTGTGTCACCAGCCGGAAAACTCTGTGCCGTTACCATGACCTCGCGGCAGAAAATGTTCTTGGCCGGATGTATATAACGCATGCTTTTGAATATTTTTGAGGTGGTTTCCCATTCACAGAGCTGATTGCACTACGTGTGAAGATTTCCGATGTCAGCAGTAGCCTTTAGGCTTATTGCCAACATTACAGAGAGAGAGAGAGAGAGATATCGAATCGAGAGAGAAACAGAGAAAGACTTGTCCGAATAAAGGCCAGCAAGGACGCCCATGATCTCGATGCAAACTAATGGCTGATGTCTACTGCCACCTGGACCACGCTGTCCTTTGTCTTCCATGGTCCATATGGTATGTCTGCAACACAGCCTTGAATGTCTTCGCTCAAGGCGAAGCCACTGCTAAAGCTGCTTGAATCAAACAGCCCCAGATAAATGCCACTGAATACAACTCCTATTTAGGAGGAGGCCATCGCTGCTAGGGTGGAGGCCATCGCTAGTAGGTAAGAAAGACAGGACAGCAATAATTTGATTCGATACTGTAGGTCGTGTAGGTGCTGGAGATCTTTGATTGCATTCCATCGAGGAACCTCATTAGCGTGCCTTTTTTGTTTCTCCTCACCAAGGTTTGCTGGCAATGCTGCTTCGCTTGCACCCGAGGCCATGAAGCAATCGCTAGTATGGCCGATGATTCTGTTGGTGTTAAAGGATTGTGTGTGTCTTTATGCCTGAAATTCACTTTCAATTTCCTTGACACAACAATCACTGGAGGCACTGGCCTTTTGATGTTCTCAGGGGTGGTTTTTGGGGATCATTTTCGAGAAGAAGTTGCGATTTGATGGGTGCTTTTTGGTGAACAGCCCGGACAAAAAGACTCGGCGACCCATTTTAGGAGCAGTTTTTGACTGCATTGAGACGTTTGGAGGAGGCTCAAACATGTTTTGGCCCATGAAGCAGATGGCTTATCTGGCCTCAGTATTGATCCTTGCACATGCCAGGCAGCAAGAGTTTCTGATCACAGAACTCTTCGATGATTTGGCTTGTAGCAGTAGTGCCACTGCGAGTGTGCTACATGTAGAGGCTGTGAGTGGCTGTCAAGCGCGAGATGTCAATGGGGATTGGATTCCGGACGTGCTGGTCACCGTGGAGCTCAACGCATCTCACCTTACTGAGAATGTCCACTGACATCATGGCCCGCCAGGGCCGCCCTATTGCTGTGGGGATGTACTGGACAGGACTTATGAAGCCCAGCCCATGACTTGTAAGGAGAGCCGGAAGAAACGCTTGGCCTCCTTGGGCAGCTTTACACTGGACGGCTTCTAGTTGGCCAATTGCACCTTTAGTATGACTGTTGGCCCGTTCCCGCTTGGCTTATGCCAGTGGCTTGGAGAATCCCAGTCTGCCATGAATGTGTGCAACTCAAGCGGTGTGCACATGAACTTCTACTCCAGTGACAACTCCACTGGATCTGCGAATGAGCAGTCAATCTTTTATCCCGCTTGGACTTCTGGACCATGTCCTGCCTTGGGTCTAAAGATGGTGCCACGGGCCGATTGCCTCCCAGCCACCGGCTTGCCCTCCCACGTCACCGGCATTTGCCCCAACGCCACCAATGCCACCGAGGCAGCAAATACAACCAACACAACCACGTCTGGAAGAACAGGGCTAGTGATCGCTCAGTCAGAAACACCACTTGCAAAGGTCTTTTCAGTGGTCACATTGGCTGCTTGGTGGGTCTGTGTTTTGCATTGAAGTGAGCGATATGGTTCTCCTGTGTCCTTTTTGTACATAGGTCGACCGTTTTCACACCGATATTTTCGATTTGTGGATACTTGTTTACCTTCTGGTACCCCACTTAGTGGAAGGGCCTAGAGGGGCGAACCGTCGGACTGTTCGCGAGTGAGTGTGTGCATTGAAGCACTGTTTTCTCTGGACTGCCTCTGTTGCTTCTTGACCACACGCATGTCGAAGACAGGCCCGTCAGATGTGGTTAGACCAGACTGCGGCACATTTGCCTGCTGAAAACAACTCACACCAGAACAGCAATGCTGTTAGTAAGCAGCTCTGCTTGCAGGTGAGGGGGTCGCTTCGGAACGCAGAAATTAGTTCGCTTCGGAACGCGGGAACGGTATCGCTTCGGAACGCGTGTCAGAGCTAGTAGGTTGGAGGCCATCGCTACGACTAGGAAGGCCATCGCTAGTAGATTCGAGGATTTGTAACCAGTAGCAAGATGCCTACGAATGCCCACGGTTGTGTTATATTGTTTTATCCAAGCTGTCCAGATGCCCAACATCAGTATTCGCTGGTGAACGAGATAGGGCATCCACAAAAAACGAGATACTTTTTTGGTTTGCAAGGAGAACGAGAGGACATGCTCTGTATTGGAGTTTAGTACCCCCCACCCAACCCGCTCATTAGTTTGCGCGGCAGAAGTGTGCTTTGAAAGGCCATCAAAACGTGTGTGTGAAGATGCTGACCTTGTCCAATCTGGCAACCCTTTCAGCACTTCAGAGTCGCACTGTCTGGTTGCTAACTGCAACCCACCCCACCCCATCCCCCCCCACCCCACCCCATCCTTCATCCTTAAACCCTCCCCATCTGTGTCTGTGTCTGTGTTCTAAAGTGAACCCAAAAATCAGGTGCGTTGTGTTCCAAAGTGATCTCGCTATTGCTAACCCTTCCATGTTTTTGGGTGTTTTGTGTTCCAAAGTGAACCATGTTTTGTGTTCCAAAGCGACCTAAACCCTGTGTTCTGAAGTGAACTAAAACTTGTGTTCTGAAGTGACCCCGCTTCCCTGCTTGCAGGGCCTCGAGCTTGTGCGTGAATTGGGAGGACTGAAAGCCAAGCGCAGTGAGTGACAGCCGGAAGCGAAGTAGGCAAGAAAAATCATAGGTATGAGTCTGTTGGATGAGCTGTATCTTCTTTGTCGGTTTCAGATGACAGGTGTGTCCGCCCGTCACTTCAGGACATATCTGCCCTATAATTTTTGTGGGAGATGGCCGCAGTGGAAAGTCCTACCTTGCTTCTTGTTTGGTTGACGCAGAGGACGGTGCTGAAGCTGATTGAAGCTGTGGAAAAGCATCCATTATGGCCTCCATACCTAACAGCGATGGCCTCCAACCTACTATAGCGATGGGCCTCCAACCTACTATAGCGATGGCCTCCACCCTAGTAGCGATGGC